AGTGTTGGTCTATAACCTAACTGGGGGAGCGTCTGTCCATACCCTAACTGGGGGAGCGTTTGTCCATAACCTAACTGGGGGAGCGTCTGTCCATAACCTAACTGGGGGAGCGTTTGTCCATAACCTAACTGGGGGAGCGTTTGTCCATAACCTAACTGGGGGAGCGTTTGTCCATAACCTAACTGGGGGAGCGTTTGTCCATAACCTACTGGGGGAGCGTCTGTCCATAACCTACTGGGGGAGCGTCTGTCCATCTGTTCAAACTTTCTGGACACAGGTGTGAGTGGGCCCAGTTGGTCGACACCTGAAACTGGATTGTTATGTTATGGCTGCAAGTAAACGGATTGATAAGCCGTTTTCACACATGAAAGCGGCTCCTGTGTGTGTGTGTGGGTGTGGGGGGGGGGGGGGGGAAATGGGGTTGTTCTGTATAAATCCAGTTCCTGTTCTCTCCCTTCTGAAACACCATCAGAATCTTCAGGTTTTGCACCAGTCACATGACACTCCGTCATCATCACCACACCTACTGGCTCCATGTGGACACTAGGAACTCACACGGGCTCCCTCCAGCTCACTCTGACCTTATGTGGACTTTGCACTAGGAAGCTGGCAGAGTAAAGTCCGCTTAAGGTCTGGGTCGACCGACTCGGATATTTGCGTTCTCACATGCAGCTCCCCGGGTGAAGTCTTGAGAACTTCAGGGTTCCAGTGCACACCTGAAGAGGCCTTTAGAAACTGCTGGCTCCTAAGAAACCCTCTTATCGACAGTCAACTGTGGAGAAAATATCTGTGCTTCTCTGGCTGCATTGGACTTTTCAATCAATAATCAATCAAGGCGCTAACACATTTATAGATTATTTTGTTATGTTACAGTTTTTATGATCCAAGAGTGGCTGGGTTAAGAGACAAATAACTTACAGTTTACCTCCAGCAAACAGTTTCCCTCCAAACATCACCCCCGACAGTGGCCAAGCCTAAAGAACGGGAGCCTGGACGTTACCCAGAACGCACCACTGTTACTAGTCAGTATAAAAACATTCTTCATGTTCTGCTGGTGAGAGAAACGTTGACGTGAAACGTGTCGGACTCAAACGTTTGTCCGCAGCCCAATGCTCAGTGCGTAAGCTTCACTATAAATGGCTTATGTTCATGCTCTGAAAGATGCAGACTGGATTAACAATGAAGATGCATCTTTGCTGCAGCGCTGAAATCTTTAAGGCTTCGTCGCGCTTTAAACCTCACATACAATATAAACACATCATCTCTGATAGAAAAATAGAGTCATGCTGGAGAGAACAGTCGAAGGCGATGGCTTGGTGCTGCGTTTAGGTCACCGCTGAGAGGCTGGGAAACCGCACCATCAGGAACTGATCTGAGGCTGAATCCACATGTGAAGAAGAAATATTACATGAGCGCATTTTTATAGTTTTACATAAACGTCTCCACTTCTGGAATAAGTATTCCTATAATAAAATCTGGATCAAGCAGGATCAAGTTTGGATCTGTTCCATGATGATCAAAGACTGAGCTGCTGTAACTCTGATCTGGTATCAGACACTGGAAACTGTAAGACTAACAAATGTTAAATCTAAAAAGACTCCAGAGTGAATAAGTGAACCCCAATCACAGCAGAGTCCCCCTTTTTAAAAGGCCATTTTCTGTGGAGGGAGAGGCACCACAGTGAAACATCACAGCCACAGAACAACTGAGGATGTTGTTGTCCAGCACGTTCACAAAGTTTGGCGGGTTTTAACTCATGACTTCAGGCTGAATAACAAACAAACATCAGCTGAGATGGAAACAGTGACTTTCAGCTTCACTCAGTTCCTGATGGTCCAGCTGTGTGCGCGCGTTTCCTACGGTTGTCTGGACACATTTTAGCCTAAAACCACCAGTGAGGACAAGCTGTCAGTCCTCAGCCCTTCAAAGGGCCAGGACTTGGTCTCAGGTTAGGGTGGGGGTTGCGAGGGGATGCATTATGTGTATATATGTGTGTGTGTGTGTGTGTGTGTGTGTGTGTGAGTGTATGAGTGTGCGCGTCAGTAGCCTCATCATCACACAGAAGCATAGAAACACGTCAAACACTGCCATCACAAGGAGCTTCAGCAACAAAAGCAACCTGCAGGTCAGCAACAGTCAAGTCAGGTTGCCATAGCAACCAGAGCTTAGCTAGTATCAGAAACAACAACAACAACAGTCTATTGTAGAAGAAAAACAACCTGTCGTACGCAGCTGGTTCAGCCTCACTTTGGGTCTTTGAGGAAGAAAAAGAAAAAACAAGGTTGAAGGTGTGTTGAAACTTGCGGCCGATTGATCTGCAGGTTCTGATGCTGCCACAAGTTGCCTTCACACCTGGAGCTTGTGGCCTGGTGACAACTGGCTGGCTGACAAAGCTCTGTCATGTTTCCTAGGTCACAAATGGACCTGCAGGCTGGAATGCACTGATTCTGTTGGAGTGACTCACCATTTTCTCACCTGTGTAACCAAACAGATCCATGTCCCAGCCCTCTCCTGTCCAACATGCTTCAGCTCAACACACATGCTACAAGTAGTTCTCCACCTGAGAACTTGTGGATAAAAGTATTCTGCACAAACTGGCATCCAGCGGCTGAGCTCATCCCACCTGAGTCCCAGCATAAAAAGGGAAACAACAGTGGAAGTCTGCCGCCTTGTGGCAACATCAGTGCAGATTTACGACATAAATCTGAGACTTTGAGGAACAACTCTCAGAAAAACAAAAACAACACAACACAAACCTACTGTCTGGAATGAACGCTGAATTTCAAAGAACAAGACTGGACAACAAAGGCTTTGCTTCTTGAACACGTCTGGGCATTTCTTACAGAACTTTGGCTGCTGCTCACCAACATAAGTCTGTTAATATTCTCTTCATGTTATACAGTGAAGTGCAACATGCCACCAAAGATGTATGCATTCACATACATCTCAGTGCAGTCAGCGATGGACAGATGAAGGTGAAGAAGACACTGAGGACGCACACTTTCAGCTGATGCAGTTAAACTCGTTACAACCAATATGAGATCATGTCAGATTTCTCATTACTTCTCTGTGATAGTTGATCTGAAGCAGATGTGTTTGTTCTGAAAAGGGCCTGTCATCACCCAGTGGTCTTCAGGAAGCAAAGCCTTTAAAAACATTTCTTGTCCAGTTGTGCATCAATAAAACAAACACTGACAATTAAAGCCAAAGGAATGTGTGTACGTCATTGATAAAACCTTTAAATCCAAACGGGTCCCAGGACGACTTCAGTTCAACTTTTTCAGAGTCAGAGTCTTTTAGAAAATATACAATCTGTCGCATAGAGATGCTTGTAGAGAAATAACGTGGCTGTGTAAAAACATCATCGCTCCTCTCTGACTGGGCTGTTCAAAACATCACTGAGGCGTTCAGTCAAGTAACAGGCCATGCATATGTGCTGAAAGGCGCGGCCAATAAGAGCAAAGAAAAAACCCTTTAAGGGCCCAAAACTGTTTCTGAAGGAATCCAGCACAGCGGCGTTTATAACGTTTACGCTATTGGTGCTGAAAAGAACCATCCCAACAGGCAAAAGTCTTGGGGGGCGGGGGGGTGAACTCAAACACACCCTGCACAGTCGAGAGCCATGATGACTGTGGTGAAAACAGTCCAGTTGTTCTAAAGACAAAGGTGCACTGAATACAGGAAACAAAACCACCTTTTAAAAAACAGACAGCCATGAAGAAAGAGCCCCAGAAAGATCCACCGGGAAAAGTCTGAGTCTCGGATCTTTGTGAATCCAGTTGATTCCTCAAATTAAGGAGGCTCAGATCCTTTTCAGCTGTCGAATCCCTTTTTAAAAATGTCTTTCCTGGCTTCAATCAGTCTGTCGACCCACAAATGATGAACATCTGTTCTCACATTAAATCAATGTATTTCACTTTATAATTTCTCCAGTAAAATCTGAAAACATTGGCTTTTCTCTGTCCTTGTAAACTGAATGTTTGTGTTTGGAGACTGAACAAACATGAACAGACCAGCAAGAGTTAAAAACAACCTTTATGCTAGAGTTAATTAGTTGCAGCCCTCCATAGAAGAAGAAAGAAGAAACCCCTCTGTGCTGTTGTCATCGGTTGGCTTCAACAGAAGTGTCCTGTTTGTCAGAGTGTTCGAGTGGCGGGTTTTAACAGGACGGAGCCCGGACGCCGACCTGCTCTCTGCACGTTTAAAATGTTCTAAGTGTCAGTGTGGAGAGAGGCGCCGGTGTTCACCGAAGTGTGAACTGGACCAGCTGTGAAAGGCGCCACCAGTGAAAAGTCCCCATAAAACACCAACCTCCCAATCTTACCAGTCAAACAGTGCTGCTTAAACACAAGGTTTGAGTCAGACCCTCCAGGAGGCCAGGGGACCGTCAGGTGAGTTCTGTGCCCAGGGGGGAGCTGTGTGATGCGGAAGGGGAGCTCAGGGCTTCTGGGGGCCTGGGGAGAGGACCACAGGGGTGGAGAGGCCGTCGACGCTCAGAGCCGGGATGTGGATCTGATTACTGCCATTAGTGGGAAACTGAAGAGGGACAGAGAGAGAGAGGTGTTTCTTATTCCGCTGATGCAGTGGGGACCAAAGGAAATGCAAGACCGGTACCACACAGATGGTGGCAACCAACAGAGAGACCTACAGCTGTTTATTACTGAGCACATGAATTCACATATCTGTCGTCAGTACAGGAGATGACAATCACTCCTAGCCAGAAAATGATTCAGTGAACACACTGCCAACGTTGAGTCTGCCTGCGGTGCCTGATACTGGTCTATATCCTGTGTCTGGTTTTACACTGATGGAGACAGAGCTTCTATCGAAAGACGTCTGTTGAAGTGCAGCAGAAACCCATGTGTGTCATGTCTCTGTAGAAGCTGCGCTAGTGCTTTATCTGCACATAAAGCTGCTGTGTTACAGTTGGGCTGTGTCTGAGGTCTTTACTGTGTCATCTGAAAACTGTGATCCACCGATGTCACAGAAAAATGTACTTTAACAAAATGGCTCTTTATTTCGGCCGACACTTCAGACAGAGTAGGCAGGGAAACTACAAACAGCCTCACCCAAGCTACGGTCATACTTTATAATATGTGTGAGAACACACACAAGGTTTGTCAGTCTAATTTGGCTCATCTTCAAATGAGGGAGAACGAGAACAGACAAAAAGGGACTTTCCTCTTTGTTTATGTCCCAACTTTGTTCCTGTGGCGCCATGAAAAACCAACGTGGACACCAGGCTGTTCTTATTAAGTTGATCATTTAGAGCTGACTAAACATGTGATCAGTGCAGTTTTCAGCTGCTCCAACAGGAGGCGACAAAGTGCCACACTGACCAAACACATGCAGAAACCCAGCACTGTTTCCATTCCCTGACCAATTCTGATTGCTCTGTTTTAATGTTGATGGTTGTCTTTGCCTGTGTGAAGAACCTTGAATGGCTTTAATAAAGCTGCCTTCCCTAGTTTTAAACCAATGTAATTTAAGTTGAGAAACAGAAAATGTTGTATTGATGAGATTTGTGCTGAGAAAATGTGTATCATGCTGAGTTTATCATGTGAAACACTGTAGTACAGGTGCTGACGCCTGACAGACGTAGGTGTGTGGGCTCGGTGTATTACCTGGAAGGAGAGCTTGGCTGGGGAGCGAGGCGCAATGGGACTGAGCGTGCTCCAGAAGTGGATGGTGGAAGGAAGAGGACTGGGAGTCAGCAGCACCGGAGTCTGGACAGACACACAAAAACACACCTGCAGTCTGTAATGTAACTACATTGTCTGTACTGGCACCACCACACTAACCAGTGATGGTCCTTCTTAGCCTTTGGAGCTGTTTCCTCTATTTTTGATTGTTGGTTGGACAAAACCAGATGTGTGAAGACATCGCTTTGCATTGTGGTAAATTTTTATGACTGTCTGACTTCTTACGGACAAAACAGTGAATCAGTTAATGAAGATAATGATGAAGTCCAGAGTGTCGCACAGAGACAGCCGAGTGTTTACCAGAGCGTGGGAGGTGATGACCGTTGGGGTGAGGGTGTTAGCCGCTGATCCAGGAGCCAGCAAACTGTTCACAGCTGCATTGACCTGCAGAGGAAGCACAAACAGAAAGTGACATCAGAGACTTCCCCTGTAAACACGACAGCTTACAGTCTCAGCCGGGGTTCAGACCCCAAGTTCTGGAGGCTCATTGTCATGACTTTCTAGAAATCTGATGAGAAACTCCTTGTGTGCAGGCTGCAGACCTTATCTAGCGAGAGGCCGGGAGGCAGGGAGGGAGAGGAGGGCAGCTCCAGGCCCCGTGGCTTCTTTGGTTTGGGAGGAGCTGCCTCAGACGAGGTCGTCACCGGAGGTGCCGCCACTGAGGAGGATGAGGCCACTAGAGGAATGGAGGGGCCTGACAGACACACGGAGACAAAGAAACAGGTGTTTGTTATAACAGAGAGAAAAAGCTCTGAGCAGCGAGACCAAGGCGACGCAGAGCACCTGCACAGGGCCTGAACACATCTGGTAAAATACAGCTGATGCTTTGTTTACTGCAGTAGCAGGACATCCCAGTGTGTGAGGCTGATGGACTGGAAGTGGCCCAGTAGAGTTTCTGCAGTTTCACCACTTTAAAGTTGAGACTGTTAAAGATCTTTCCAATAGAACACATAAAATGAAATCTAATACCGCTTTCAATTAACATTGACTAAGACGTGGCACCAAGCTGGTCGCCAGACTACTTCATTAAATACTGTGATGTGCGGTAACAATAACCCCCCCCCCCCCACCACTATCCGCTGCCACTCCTGGTAGTTTATAGGTGCATAATGCCTTTTGGGAAGGCTGCCCAGAACAATCCCCATGGTTTGCCCCAGAGGACAGTTAGCTAAGGTGGTACTGTATGGTGACCAACACTGTGTGATGGGGCCTCTCTCTTCTTCTTGTTCTGCCTTAAACATCATCATCATCATTTGACACAGTAGAGCTGAAAACTCACTGAGCTCAACTCTTCCTGTTACCTGTTAGCATGTCCCCAACTTCCTCTTCCCCTGCAGGGTGCTCGACCCTGGGCTCCATAGAGGGAGGGGGTGGGCTCTCAATGATGGTTAGAGGTGGGTCTGGTTCCCCTGAGCCACAGATTAGCTGAGGAACCTGGAAGAAGAAGAAGAGCCATGTCGTGAGTCTAGACACGTGTCACATGGCGAGCCACGACGCGATGCTGCCTGTATATGGTGCCATTGGCACAGCGTGTACCATGGCCTCCAGATGTTCTCTCCGGTCTGAAGCTGAATTTACACTGTGACCAGTGCTACAATGTAGTTTCAATTCATTTTAATGGTCTGCAACATACTAAACAAGACAAGTTCATACAAAGTACAATAAAAACTTTAGTAAGATATTACACAACTGTACTGAAACTGGACTCTGATATGCTTTAAACACATAAATCTGTCTATCTTCACTGGATCATCTTTTACCGTCTCACTGGCACAGGAAACAACACCTGCCCCCCAGTGCAGCGGTGTGGCTCACTGGGCGGTTTAATAACTGGTGGACCACAGCGGAGGTCTACGGCACAGAGCAATAAGCTGAACCAGGGTCTGCTTAGTGAGGACAGCGGCTGCAATAGCTGAGACTGACTGAACGAATTAAAAACTCCTCTCACCTCCTCCACCTGTTTCTCCTCCAGAGACACCATCTCCAGCAGCTCCTCCTCTGACGGCAGGTTCTCCTCCTTGATTACAATGGGGGGAGGAGGAGGACGGGCAAGGGGCGGAATGGAGGGAGGAGGAGCAACAGATGGAAGAGCAGCCGCCATGGCCGTTTGCTGCTGTTGCTGGGGGGGGGGGGGGTGTTGCTGGGGGGGAGGGGGGTTGATTATGACGAAAACAGGAGGGGGGTGAGCTGGGTGAGGAGCCGTGGGGGGGTGAGGAGCAAAGCCGGTGGGGGTGGTGACACCCCCACAATCATCCTGCTGGGGACCCAGTGATACATGGGGGGGAGGGATGGGGTTCACTGACCCCCCAACAGGTCCCAAGGGGATGAGGGGGGTGAAGGAGGATGGGTCCCCAACGCTGGTGAGATAAATCTGAGGAGGGTCACTCAGAGGGGGAACAGGAGGATTCTGGGAAAGAAAAATGTGACAAAGTACAAAAGTATTACTATCAAAATCTCCTTGAAGTACCATCAGTACCAGTACTGGTCCTGCAGAACGGCCCGTGTCCCAGTAACGTCTCTGATACTGGATCATAGTGACTAATTACTGTGTCCATCACTTTAATGCTGCAGCTGGTAAAGGTGGAGCTGATGGTAACTACCTTATATACTTATACTGGGAAGTACTTTCCATCCTGCTGGGTAGCTGGTGGATTTCCTACTGGGATCAATAGAGTCTGATGGTTCTACTGGGTTTGGTTTGATTCATCTGGTTCTGGACCTGAAGGTATCAGGTACATGTAGTGTAGTAAAAAGTACACGGTCTGTCTCTGACATGGAGTCACAGGATGAAGTAGCAGGACATGGAAGTACTCAGGTGAAGTACCTCAAAACTATACTTCAGTAACAGTACTTGGGTAAATACATTCAGTTCCTCTCTGACCTGTGATTGGCTGGTGGTGTTGCCTGCTATCTGGGGACTGAGAGCCGGAGTTGGACAGGGAGACGGCTGAGTGACGATCACCTGGAGAGCAGGGTCCACAGCGCCACCTACAGATGCAGATGATTTAGACTCTGGTAAAACAGAGAGCTGAGGAGGGGGGAGAGGAGGGAAGCATGAGAGAGGAGGAGACAAAAGGAGAAAGAGTTCAGATTAGAGGACTGGATTCCATGGAGCGTTAAAAATCATGCACAGCCAGGATGAAACTAGTCAGTATGCTGAAAAAATGTAGAAGAAATCATCTGGACATAGTTTTACCACCACAACTCAGTCGTTAGGGCACATTGTTGGCCGTCGTGGAACTGAAACACCACCCGGGGGGATAAATAACTCCTGCTCACCAGCAGTCAGACAGAACTGATGAAGCCTCTTGGATGAGAGATGAAATGTCTTCTACCTAAAACTACGTCCAGATGATTTCTTCTATGTTTTTTCAGCATATTACAACCTGGATGACTGAATTTGCACGGACAGGAAGTCAGTAAATATTTGTCTTTCTACCCAGACACACGTTTTCCTCCTCACTTGGTTCTTTACACACCTCTGAGTATCGTTCATACTAGTTTGATCAATACAGGTGATCCTTCTGGTCCAGGACCACCTGACAAGTGTCTCTCACCTCTCTGGGCGTGTGGTCGACCTTTGGCGCGGACTCTTGTTGTAGCAGCAGCTCTGTTTTGATTGGCCGTGGGTTGGGTGAAGCCTGCAGTGATTGGATGGTGAAGGTGGAGTAGAGGCCAGACTTCATGTAATCATTTCTGGAGCTTTTCTGGGAGCAGCTGGGTGACGAGCGCTGGGGATCAATACAGAAATCAATCAATCTTCCCACCAACCAACCAGTCAGATGATTCATATCATATTAAAATCACTGTGTCCTTGTATCCTGCAGGCATCTAATGTACCTGTGGGACACCCTTGGATGTACAGGTTGGGCTCATGCCCCCGAGGCCTTTTGATTGGCTGTTTGGGTCGAGGTCCCGCCTTTGGCCCTCCTCTCCATTGCGTACACCCTCAGGGAGGGAAGGGTCAGCCTGACTGACAAACTTGTAGACAAACTTCTGACCACTCACCTTCTTTATGATGTTCTGAAAGACGACAACAAAATGACCATGAACCCTGCAGCAGGACTGAGGCAGACTCACAAACACTTGTCTTTTAAACCAAGTCTGACTCATGTGTCAGGATTTGTTTTGGTTCTGTCAAGTATGAAAATTACAAAAGGATCAAGGCCAGATTGACACCAAATACCGTCTTTATAATGGAAACAAGGCACTGAACATGCAATTAGAAAGTAACTGCTGTTGTGAGCTACTTGTGTTTGTAACAGTGTAGTAACAGTGTCATCAGCAGTACCTTGTCGTAGTAGTATCGGAGAGCTCGGCTCAGTTTGTCATAGTTCATGTTGTGTTTGTTCTTGCGCAGCCCCCACAGCCGTGCGACCTCCTCGGCATCCAGCAGCTTGAACTCTCCGTCCTCACCTGTCCAAGAGATCAGGTGACGCTGCCGCTCGTCCTCCAGCAGATGGAGCAGGAATTGCCACAGCGTGATGGATGGGTCCATGGCTATGGGGTGGGGTCAGGTGGTAGACAGAGAGCCAAGGTTTCATTTGAAATGTTTGGGTATCAATACCAAATCAGGCCTGATTTCAAAACTCTACTTTGTAATCCAAACTTTTAAAATGAGTTCTGCATGTGGTCCTAGCAGAGAACACTCGTACAACAATGCCTAAATAACTGCATTATTTATCTAAATGTTTGAATGTAACAAGAGAAAAAATGTCTCCTAATTCAGAAACAAATCACAATAAACAAACAAGAATCTGACAGAAGGTTCAGTGGCAGCTTCCACTGCTTGACAGTTTTTGTCCTCCACACCACAGACACAATTCAGGCAGTGTTACAGAAAAAAAAGAGGTTCAGTATCCAGCCCCAAGAGTGTGGGGGGGAGGAAGTGTTGCACAGTGATGCAGACTCACAGGTCATCAGAATAACCACACAAACAGATTAGGATTGCAACTAACTACGTCTATCTGTGAGCAACAAAAAGGCAAACCAGCAACACACTGAGCTGTAGTTCAGTCTGGGGTCCTATGTCAGAGGGCGGAGGCCCACTCTCTCAGCCTGATACGGCCTGGACTTAGCTAAGCACAACGCTGATTGAATCAATGAAGAGATCATGTTCATATTTTTAATCCCGTGTCAGTCGATGGCAGACAGAAGTTACAGTGTGTTTACATGAAAAAACAGGGGTCTGAACTGGCTGGTGCAGTATTTACCCTCCTGAACCCCAGGGGGCTCTGCATGACACAGCACCATCTTGATTTTGATTTTTGATTTGATTTATTCTTTCAAACATGTAACGACAGTCAATATATCAACACACATAATTCCACACATATCCACAAATCCATTATCAATGTGCTTATACCTAGTACATGCTTGAACGGAGTAGGAAGAAGTCAGACTTATCCAGTCCTACCCCATGACATCATCTTACATCATTGGTTTGCAAGCAGTATCTCTACATAGATAATTCTCTTCTACACCACACTAGTGATATACTAAAAAATATTACAGACTGTTACCATTCTTACATAATGACATACTTTGCTACAATGCTCATGTTGCTGTGGATCATTACATTTCAGAGACTGTGTTTTTGCTTGGTTGCTGCAGCTGATACCTGACAGCAAGATCCCAGGGTCACTTGTTATTGTACAGTTTGGGAAAACACATTGGCTAATAACTTTTCATCAGTTCAAGCAGCAGCCAATGGAAATTCTGCACAGGTCGAGTCAAAGATCAACAAATGCAAGCTCTTTTTCCTTGTTAATGTGAGTACACCTTTAGAACCACAGTAACATGGCTGTGAAAACAGGTTCAAGACCTTTGCACATGAAATTTAAGAGTTTGTAATACATTTAGTGGTTTAGAAGAGTTTTTGCAAACGTGCAGACACAGTAACTGAAGCCAGTGGTGTAAACATAAACAGGGTAGACTGAACGCTCTTCAGGAGAAAGGGAAGCGGCCAGCGACTCTCCTGAGAAGGTCAACATCACACAGCCAGAAATGCCAGTCATGCAAATGAGCCTCATTACCACTAGCTGACCTGTTACATAACTGACCCATCGGACACCTTGGAAACCATCACCATGGTGAAAGACCTTTTATCAACGGTAACCAAGCAAGAAGGACTGCGGGTGAGAGAGGTATAAACACACAGAAAGAGAGCGATGTGAAGAGGCATCTGGTGTTCAGTTTGCAGGAGGCTGACCCTGCTGCTGCCCTGCTCAAAGGCACTTCAACACAAACACAGAGGATGAGCTCTGAGTAATGTGAAAACCAGAAAATGTTCAAGTTTAGCTTTATTGGCCACACCCCAGACTGAGATAAACGATTCACTCCTTGACCTGTTTCCATCACTGGTGTCTGCTGATACCGAGCCTGACCAGATGTTCTGTCGCTGTCAGCTGTGTTTGGTTTTATGTTGCATTTGTTGTCTGGTATACAATCTGAGAAGCATGTCTGTGCTGTAGAACTCCACCTTTGTCCGTGTTGGAAAGGACAAAGTTAAACGCCATATGCTCGCTGGCTGTTAACAGGAAATGATTACATTTAGCCCAACTCTTAGGCCAAGACCACTTGAGCGATCACCAAATAGACTATATTCTACAAAACTAGCAAATTATTTATAAGTATAAAGCATTTTTTTCAAAGTAGGAAACATACGCTTCATTCCATTGTATTGTTGTGATCCGAACACGAGTTGTGGCCTGGGTCCGGGCTGACTTGCCGTCCTACTTTGATAAGCCCTGCTTTAATGGATATATAGTCTTTCAAATAAAAGCTAAAATAAAACTGAATATTTGCTGAATCAAATCAAAATCACCAAATTGTACTGTATCGTATCATATCGTTACAAATTGTGCTGCACTGTTTTTGTATCTAATCATGAACCACGTATGGCAATGTGTACCAAACTGTGTTGGAGGGAGAGATACATGCCACTAGCCTTAAGATAAAAGTCAGATGCTCCACAGTTTGTTTAAAAGAGATACTTGTGCTGGTGTAAAGTGACACTAGTGACCCTTTGGCAATACAATGCCAGCACAGTGCACACCCAGGCAATATGGAAACACTCAGGCTTTTTAAAATCACACAACCATACAGCTGCACTGTAACAACACTCTGCCCAGCACCTTCAGCTGGAAATTGGAGTCTGAATTACCTAAACATTATTCTAGTTTTGGCCTGAGTCCCTCACCGTGTCCTTCTGAGTAGTTCAGTATTAAATCATATAATTGTGATGGTAGACGTTTGCTTTCTTTTATCTCTGAATGTTTCGTGTCATATGTGTCTCATTTCTGGATTAAAACCCTGTCTGCATCTATAGAAATACAGTTGTACTTCTGAGCAGCATGAGAAGCAAGGGGAGTAGTGTACAGAGGTCAACACTGGGACAACAGTGTGGACAACAGTGGAGGTCTACGGCACAAAGCGATGAGCTGGACCAGGGTCTAGACTCACACACATTACGGTTAGGACACCACACTCATTGGTGCTGCTGGTCTCTGGATGGGGTTGGTGGGGAATCGCACAACTAGAGAACATCACCGGTGTTTTCCTGTAATGAAGTTACCACGGAGCAGAGAGGGAAGAAAACTCAGACAGAAAACGGAACAAACCACACGTGTGCTCACTTTCTCCACCAGAGAAGAAGAGTGTGGTTTCCTGCCCATGCCCTGATCGTCGGTGGTTTCTCTGCTTCCTGATATCACAGTGCTTCAGTCACACATCACAACACAAGTCTCAACAACGGCCAGATGCCACAGAGCAAAACACAGAGGGCAGGGACACGGCTGCCTGTCAGTCCTGCACCGGTTCATCCTGTCGCAGTTTTCTGACTCAGATCATCTGATCATAAACATGTCACATTTCACACTGTTTCACGTTAGAGTGCGTCAGCATTGCCATGACAATATGTGAATATTGCATCACTGGCCTGATGCTGTCCCCATGACAACGGTCAACATCACACCAATAATAAGACATTTTACAATACAGCTGTTAATGTGACACCCGAGGTTCAGACACTTTGACAACTATGATCAGATTTTCATTTTGTGGGTGATGGTTTTGTTTACTTCCCTTTCATTGCTATAGTGTAGCAGTTACAACACAAACTATATTTTAGAGCTGAAACAATTAGTCACTTGACAGAAAAATAATCAGCCACTATTTTCATAATCAATTGTTTCAGTCATTTTTAGATACCATCATTCAATAAGAAATCCCTGTGATGCAGCCACTTCACAAATTCACAGAAACAAACAAGGCATGCAAGGATAAATAAAAGCTTGATTATATACAAAAGCTAAATAGATAATAGTTAAAAATAAGTTTAAATAAAACAAATACAGTACAAACAGACAATAAAAATGAGCCTGAAACAGAACAGACAGATGTTAAGACACATCTATGGATTTAAAGAAGCAACAAGAGTGGAAATGCAAATATCTGCAGATTTTAGCCTCTTAAAGGAGAAGATGCACGTTCTTTGACTGTAAACCGAAAATGAGAGATTTTGGTAAAAAAAAAAACAACAAGGCAGATGAAGACATCACCTCCAGCACTTCATAAACACTAGTTGCAGGCCTAAACATGACAAAGTCGATTTTCTCCTGCTTTACAAGTGCAACTCCAGTAAAACTGGCCTGTTTTAAACTTCCCGTCTGTCACTTGTCATGTAACCAGCTGAGGCCAACGACAGTTTCCAGAAGAGACTGGAATGGGAGACAACGGGGAAGTTCTCTCTGTATTTAACCCACTTAAACGCCTCCCGTCTCGCTGGTACCTCCACCTTCCAGTGTGGAGCGTCACACTGAAAACCTGCCCTTGTGATTTCTGTTACCGTCTACACTTTGCTGTAGCCTGATTTTGGACACCAACACTCTAAACTTGCTATCGATTTAAGTGTCTCAGTACGATCTGGACCACCGTTTTGGCTTGATGACCAGATTTGGCCATCTGTTAATCACACTATGTAAAGCGGCCTTTAGTGCAGATATGCTCTCAGGCCGCATGTTTCTACCTGCAGCAGCATGAAAACAAATCTGACCCAACCCAGAATTCAAAATCACGACAAAACCTGCTGTAATGTGTCTCAGCACACACAGCTGCAGGCCTCAGTAGCTTCCTCACACCTGTTGCGACGTTGCTGCTTCCCTCCAATCCGCACAGAAACACTCACTCGGAGCTGTATCTTCATCAGCAGCGTGTAAACGCACCCGCAGCATCTCTTACCGTTTATCAGCGGGCTTGCATCCATCTTCAGAAAAACAATGCTCCGTCTTGTTTTTGAGTTTCTTGTCTCCCTGCTGGCTCAGAGCTCCTCCATGCTGCTGTGTTGCTGCTCTGTGCTGTACTGTCTGGGCGTTGGGGGATTCTCGGAGCAGGTTGCCGCTGTCAGAGCCGGGCTGAGGACCACACGTTCAGCAGCTTCTCTCCCGACCTGCTGCCATTATGTAACCGCTCCGAGCTGCTGCCAGGCTCCCTTGCATCCATGCTAACGACGCATTGGCCAACAGCACGAAAATTAAAAGTTAGCTCAGTCCCAAAAACTAAAACATGTCCAAAAATAATCACGCCAACAAAAATGTATATTTCACAAACTATTAAATGGAACGTGAACTATACCGCACATAGCGCGGCTTTAATTAAAATGCAGTGTTAATGCATGACAGCATTGTGTTAACATAAAATGTGAGTTAACTAGATTTCTGCTAATGTAGATAAAGTTGGGCTGTTTTTCTCCCAGCTAACGCTACATCCCTGCTGTGGATGTGTTGAACAGCGCTGATGACAGCTAACTAGCAGTGCTAGCAAGTTTTTTTTGGCGGTTATTTGTTGTGTTACTTTAGCTTCTCGGTGGATTCGCAGCAGGCGTTTAAACATCAGGCTAAAGCTGTTTTTTGTTTTACACTTCAGTTTCTCAAGTTCTCCAAGGGGATTTCTGAGGGCTTAAGCTGTTATCCTAGCGTGCTCGCCTAGCCTAGCCTAGCCTAGTTGTGCGACAGCCCCCACCCCCCGCCTTCCTCCACTCCTACTGATGCGTCAGCCCACGAACAGTGCTGCTCACTACGGACTGGACCCGTCCACAGTCCTCAAACACGGTGGAAAAGTAGTTTGTAGACTCCGCCCACTGGTCAGTTCTCGGTGTGATAGCAGAAATATCCAGAAGTACAGACAAAATTAATCACTTAGATGTACTTTACAGTTTCTTCCTGTTTGGACGAACGCCGCCTCACGTCTTTCACGCAGTCAGGTTAGCCGTGATTTGAACCACACTTCCGGTTGTAGATTTCAAAATAAACGTCTGAGCTTAAAGATTTATCCACGAGCATTTTTTTCCCTGTGCTGGAAAGCGACTGAGTACGTTTACTAAAATATTTAACTCAAACACTAAAGCTGGGGATTTTCACCGTTTTTATTATCAAAATGCTTCTTTCAGTATGCCAAGGGTTGTAATCAAAACAGCGCGCGCACACACACACACACGGCGGAGCTGCCATGCAAGGTGCTGGCCTGGGCACTGGGAGCTGTAAGGTGTAATTCTGTTTATTCAGGGGTTTTGCTAAAGAGATACTATGAAAAATAAACCAAGTTGTGACAATAATAGTTCAGGAGCTTATCTTACTGAAAATATTCCCTGTCATATGAAATGTTAATCTTCCTTCTCAGTGCAAATGTTATTTGTTCTAGCTGGAGACACATTTTTTTTTAACAGGGCTGGTGGGTTATTTGACAGCTCAACACAGAAGTGTTAACCCTATGAATTAGCCAACACTGGGAGTGGTTTCTGTAAGACTTCTGATACAGTTTAGATGGTTTTGGTCCAGTAGTTTACAAAGCTCCGGACCGGTGGGGCTGGTGTCGGTCCACAATGGTCACCCCTTGGAGCAACTGAAGGAACCATTTTGGAAACTCTCTCAGTACTCCCAAAGTCTTCCTCACTTGTGTCTTAGTCCCACCCATGTAAGATGTGAGTACAAGATATGAGGAGAGAGGAACTGAGGAAACACATTTATAGAGAAAGGAGACATCCTTTCATCCGATCCTTGATCTGAACCATCCAATGGCCAACGGATTTCTAACAAAGGGGCGTCTGCGAAGGATGCTCTCATGTGTCCTTGCTTACGGCTTGTCCAGCAGCTTCCTCGTTAATCAGAGCAAGAATAAAAGCTTTAAGACATCCTTCAAGATGGTGGATTGGAACGACTTATGGATCAAGTGACAATGAAATAAGGGAACTGGGATTTACACTGTGTGCCTTCCAGGGGGACTTTAGACCTGCTCAGCTCAGTCACAGCTGAGAAACAGTATCACTGTGCTGACACTGAACTCAGCAGCGAATCAGCCAGACTCCGAGAACCAAAGTGAACACTGTGTGTGTCAGTCTATTTCAAGAGTCACCTCTCAGCTGCTTTACAACACAGCCTCTATTTAGCTTCCAGTTTCCATGGCAACAGGTTCCGTGTTGTTGACTGAGCATCTCTGAGAGATCACTCGTACTGTCATCTTGTTGACTTTATTACTGCAGTCTAATTCATCACATCACAAATGTTCAACATCTGACAAACTGACAACAGAATACATGTCCAAAAGTATGTGGACAGCTGCAACATGTCCATATCTTTGTCCTGCTGGAGGTCTCTAGACCAAATCCTGTTGTTCCACTAGAATGTCCATGAGGTCAAGTTAAAGGGCACGGGTGCTCATTTTGTAGGTTTTTGTTATTTCCCGCCAAATTCACTGCTGCTTTTATTCTGGACAGGATAGGATCCGTGGAAAAAACAGAAATGTACACAATCCCCGGCTGCATCCTTTAGAGATTTCACTTGCCAACGCCTCCTGTGATGTTCATTCTGTCACAATGGAGCTTGAGGTTTGGTATTTCTAAACAAGCAGACATGTTTTATTAACATGCTGACCCTCCTGAACTGAACTGTTCTCTGCAGTTGTCCCATACGTGGAGAAGTCTAGAAAACGTCTCTTCTGCTATCAGGCAGGTCTGTCAGTCCTTGCAGCTCCCTCAGACCCTGAGGAGGAGAAGAGTTCTCATCTCACTGAAAACACACTTAAAGCCCAAAATAATGATCAATCTCCAACTAGCATCTGATTCAGTCCTGACAGTTGGTTCATTAAATGATCCTTAATATCGTCAATACGAAGTAAAATGAGTCAACTGATGAGAAGGAGTCTACATCAGCAATGTGGGGGCTCAGAGGTTCCCCACTGTGGCCCCTATGTATCAGAACACTTCTGCTGCACTGCCACAGAGCACAACAGGAGATCTGGTTAATTATTTTACACAAAAACATACTGATGAATATTTAATGAAACAAAAATGTTTCTCCAATCTTCATTATTCCTAACACAAACATAACTACTGTGTAAAAACATCGTGTGCCCAAAAAAGTCAAATATACAACAGGTAAACTTTCACAAAACATTTATAATTGTATGGGGGGGACAATAATGTGAACAAACTGACCTCCAGCACCATGCGGATGTTGGCCTTTATTTTGGCAGAGTCTTTGGTGAGCTGCTCTGTGAAGCTGAAACACAACATTGTTAGCATGGTTAGCATGTCTCACTCATAACAATGGACACAGCTAGCATCAAGCTAACGCCACACTGGAACCCAACCTGTCAGGACTTTTACAGACATCAACCTTATTTTGAATTCTTTTGGCGGTTTTAAGAGATGAGTGCAGAGACAGGAAGCAGCCTGGATACTCAACTCTGAGGCTTCCAGTCTTTCACTTGTTTAAAGTGCAGCTGCTGTTTTTCTGTTGGAACAGGTCTGAGATCAGCTCAAAGTGTTTTAAGTCAAGTTAAATATGCCTTTTCAGCCTGGCTGCAAATGTGAAATTGCTGTTTATTCATTCATGTTAATTCACTTACATCGATAGTTTTTGGTGTGTATATATATAGTTTATTTCTTTTAATTTTGATGATTATAACTGACAACCAATGAAAACCCCAAATTCGGTATCTCAGAAAATTAGAATATTGTGAAAAGGTTCAGTATTGAAGACACCTGGTGCCACACTCTAATCAGCTATTTGACTCAAAACACCTGCAAAGGCCTTTAAATGGTCTCTCTGTCTAGTTCTGTAGGCTACACAATCATGGGGAAGACTGCTGACCTGACAGTTGTCCAAAAGACCACCATTGACACCTTGCACAAGGAGGGCAAGACACAAAAGGTCATTGCAGAAGAGGCTAGCTGTTCCCAGAGCCCTGCGTGCAAGCACATTAATAGAGAGGCGAAGGGAAGGAAAAGATGTGGTAGAAAAAAGTGTACAAGCAAAAGGGATAACCGCACCCTGGAGAGGATTGTGAAACAAAACCGATTCAAAAATGTGGGGGAGATTCACAAAGAGTGGACTGCAGCTGGAGTCAGTGCTTCCAGAACCACTACGCACAGACGTATGAAAGACATGGGTTTCAGCTGTCGCATTCCTTGTGTCAAGCCACTCTTGAACAACAGACAGCGTCAGAAGCGTCTCGCCTGGGCTAAAGACAAAAAGGACTGGACTGCTGCTGAGTGGTCCAAGGTCATGTTCTCTGATGAAAGTAAATTTTGCATTACCTTTGGAAATCAGGGTCCCAGAGTCTGGAGGAAGAGAGGAGAGGCACAGAATCCACGTTGCTTGAGGTCCAGTGTAAAGTTTCCACAGTCAGTGATGGTTTGGGGTGCCATGTCATCTGCTGGTGTTGGTCCACTGTGTTTTCTGAGGTCCAAGGTCAATGCAGCTGTATACCAGGAAGTTTTAGAGCACTTCATGCTTCCTGCTGCTGACCAACTTTATGGAGATGCAGATTTCATTTTCCAACAGGACTTGGCACCTGCACACAGTGCCAAAGCTACCAGTACCTGGCTTAAGGACCATGGTATCCCTGTTCTTAATTGGCCAGCAAACTCGCCTGACCTTAACCCCATAGATTTTCTATGTGGTATTGTGAAGAGGAAGATGTGATATGCTAGACCCAACAATGCAGAAGAGCTGAAGGCCACTATCAGAGCAACCTGGGCTCTCGTAACACCTGAGCAGTGCCACAGACTGATCGACTCCATGCCACGCCGCATTGCTGCAGTAATTCAGGCAAAAGGAGCCCACACTAAGTATTGAGTGCTGTACATGCTCATACTTTTCATGTTCATACTTTTCAGTTGGCCAAGATTTCTAAAAATCCTTTCTTTGTATTGGTATTCAGTAATATTCTAATTTTCTGAGATACCGAATTTGGGGTTTTCATTGGTTGTCAGTTATAATCATCACAATTAAAAGAAATAAACATTTGAAATATATCAGTCTGTGTGTAATGAATGGATATAATATACAAGTTTCACTTTTTGAATGGAATTAATGAAATAAATCAACTTTTTGATGATATTCTAATTTTATGACCAGCACCTGTATATATATATATGTTTTGAGTTTCTTCATAGCCTATTAGGTTGTACCATTCAGTTTTATCATAAGTACTTTAATTTAGTTATCACACTCTATTTATTCTATTTTGGTTTCTTAAACGGTATGGGCATTCTATTTAGGTGAGAAACAGTATTTTGATTTTTCTGTATGTCCTGCACATATAGTGAATTGACAATAAAAATCTTTGATCTTGATCTTACAGTTAAATATATTAACATAGTGTTGTGTGCATTAGTCTCACTGTGTGTTTAAATTTGTTTTTCATGAATGTTTGTGATAAAACAGTGCTGATTCAATTTTAATATTACTCTGTATCATTCCTTCTTACATGTTGCTCTTGTCATTGTATCCTCCTTTATATTTGATCCAGGTTGGATTTGAAATCCATTTTATTGACTGACTATTTTGAATTTGTATTTATTTTCTGTACCTTATTGCCTTTTATCTATAAAGCACTTTAAACTGAACTAACTTATATGAAAGGTGCTACAGTAGATCAGTAAAGTTTGATTTGATTGACTGAGGGCTCGTGAAGCATCAGACTGAATCCTGAGGAAATGTGATTTCACACTAACGCTGTGAGCTGACTCGTCTTCTTGTCGATGAATCTCAGAGCTTCATCGTGGGTCATCTCCACAAAGAAGCCGTAACCGACTGCCACAAAGATCCTGGACGAGTCCTCCCTTGCAGAGACACAGGAGAGGGTGGGGTTAAAATACACACATGGACCTTGACAAATGGGAAGAGCTGAAATCAATCAAAGAACGAATAAGTCACATTCAGAGAGCAGCTGGCTGAGCTGCAGTGAACCAGAATCAACACGAGTGTTCAGATTCTACAGGGGTATCATGTGTTTACTGGCAGGCGGCACAGGGCGTTACAGACTTTATATCTGTTCATGTTGTTTAGTGCAACTCCAAAACATGCATAGGTTAGTGAGCAGGTCTACTCAGCATGATTGATGAGTGTAGCAGCTGCTTACACTTCAGCCTGGACATAGAAGTTACAGCCCAGATCTACATCTGTCTTCAGCTGCTGAGAGCCCGACTCCTTCAAGATCACACACACACAGAGAAATGTGGAGACACAAACAAACATGTATCACTTCTTGTTTAAAAGCATGCCACTTTTGGTGTAACTGATTTTCACAAAAATGATTTTCTTCTCGCTAAACCCTGCATTCATATATCAACAGTTTGTTTACCAGCTGCTTTTATAAATCACAAGGAAAACTTTTCTTCTTGTTCAAACCAAATGCTGCTATATCAGTAAAAGGTGACATTTGTGTATGTTGGTTCTTTGTGCGTGTGTGTGTGTGTGTGTGTGTGTACCTGCAGACTCTGTATGGTGTTCTTCAGCTGCAGGTACTGAGAAATCTTCTCATAAACTGCATCTCTCTGCTCCAACACCTTTCTGCAAAACATCACACACAAATTGCTGAAGCCCAGTCACACAATAACATGTCTCCCTCCTCACCTCCGTAGGATGTGTCCAGAGTCCCGTCTCTGACTACAGAGGTCTGGAGGGTTTACTGATGAAAAACTGGCAGCAGTAGCTCACTGGGCCATACCACGATACTAACAGAGAAACCGCAGGTTGTATTGGGACGAGGTCCTGACGAAAACCAAAATGATTCTTCAAATTATATGCAACATTGGACATGATGTAGCATTTTGAATGCATGACTTTTACCTATAACACAGTACTGCTACACTGCGGTATTTCTACTGTTACTTAAGTAAAGGGTATGGGTAACATTACTTCTTCCACCTGTGCAGCTGCACAACACATCTGGTGGAGATGGATAAAAGTCGCCTTCACCCCGTTACCTCCCCCGACGGTTCTTCACAGAGAAAGCACACCTACAAGGCTTCTATGCCACTAAAATCGAACTTTAGTAACTTTGGCAGTGCGTCAGTCTGTGGTTCTTACTGTAAATCTCTCTTCAGAACTTCGTTTATGAAGTTTTCATACTGCAGAACCTTCTCATCCATGTTAGCATTAGCATTAGCAGGCGGAGACATCTTCAGTAGTTTCTCTTCAAAAACCAAACTTCAGTCTGTGATAAAGATAAGCTCCAGCAGCCGTAAACCTGCAAAAACGCCCGACTGCCATCAACGTTTCTGAGTCATAAACAACACAAACTCCCCGGTTAGCCTTGCAATTAGCATTCTGAGACCTCATGCTTCTTCGCTCGGCGCCGGAACTGTGACCGAGACCTTATTTCCAGATTTCAAAATAAAAGTGTTAAACCGCTGAAGCCACAGAATTAGGATAAATAGAAAAGAACTTCAGTTGACTGCGACGATCTTAATGTCAGCACTTTTGGGAAGGTTAGTTTCAAAATGTATGAGGTTGGTCATGTTAATTCATTTATTATATTATTTGGAATTATTGTTAAATACAGCTGGGAAGTAGTGACAAACTGTGATAAAAATGCGAATAAATTTCTGTACTTAATACCTAATAAGTTGTTTTCTGTCATTCTTCGACCGGTGACTGACAACGTGTGTAAAACCCAGTGTGTTTTACTCCTTAGACAGCAGGTGGACGGCAAACCTTTTAAACAGTAAAATGTAGTGTCTTTTAACCTGTTGGACTGATGAGTCTCGTCTACCTGCTCTGTTGCTGGACTCGTCACGTGATACAAACATGGCGGACAGCTGGCAGCTCCGTAGCTAACTCGTTTAAAATTAAGCGCTTCTTTAAAACTACCCTGCACGGGAACAAGAATGTATTTTATAGAAGACGCGAGTCTGTTTTATTTTAGTTTCTGTCGGACACATTTAGCGCGTCACCAGCAGCAGTATAAAGCTAACAACCCTTGTTGAATTTGTGGCTTAGCAAGTCCAGCTTAGCTAGCAGGTTACCAGGGTAACGACATCCAACAGTTAGCCCAGTTCAAGAGCTTCAGTTTTCTTTTCTACAGGTGGAGCTGCCTTTGAAACACGTTGTTTCTTTGTGGTTGTCCTGTATGCAGAATTAAAGCACACAATCATGTTTTTATACCAAAGGAATTGTTACATTTTGCTGAGGCCTCATTTTATAACTATGTGCTTTTCGGTTTCTACCATCATTAATTCAATGGGAGCTAAAACAAAGTGCCATACTGCTATTTTGTGTCACATAAACTATTTACTACTCACAACGCATACTGTTTCTATCAGTATTCCTGAGGACACCACTGTAATTGTCTAATACAACTTCTCCTGGACAGTTTTCTCAGGATAATTTTTGAGGTGTCACATAGACCCAGTTCAGCGTGGTCTGGTTCAGTGTCAGACCAGGTTCTGGTGTGATGGAGCAGTACAGTATCCTGGGTCGGATCGGAGAAGGAGCCCATGGTATTGTCTTTAAGGCCAAACACTTGGAGGTAACTCTGCACAACACTGTGTTTAGAGGTGAAAGTCAGTCAGTTACTAGCAAAGGATTTTAAACTTGTTTAGAGGTGAAAGTCAGTTACTAGCAAAGGATTTTAAACATGACAGAAGAACTGTCATGATTTTTGAATTGTTTCAGACATTTTCAAGCAAATATGCAAAAGCATCTTCTTCTTCCAGCTTCTGAAATGTGAGAATTTCCTGCTGTATGTTTGCATATGACAAAGACTCTGGTTGGACTGTTGCATTGGTAAGACAAACAAAACAAACAGTCTGAATACGTTGTGCAAGTCTTTGGGAAAATTCTGGGTATTTTTCTTTTTTTTCCCCTAATTTTGTAAATCACTAACATCATCAGCAGATTAATTGAAAATATATAACCATTATTCAGTCATGTCATGGGACCAGGATCTTTTACAGAAAAGAAAGAAAAACAAACAAAAGCGCAAACAGCATCAGACTTAGTCACAGATGCCACTAAACAGCCTCAGAGTTAAACCTTTACAATGGACCAGTGGGGAAGAACATTCACATGCTAGAATCCTCGGTCATTCTTTCAGGTTTAACTTCATTCTCTTGTCAATCCACACTTAATAAATCTGTGCACATGACTCCACGCATTGGTCTGTCAATAATGAATGCATTGCTTGTGATGATTTGGTGTTTTGTGTCAGACAGGAGAGACAGTGGCTCTGAAGAAAGTGGCTCTGCGGAGACTGGAGGATGGCATCCCCAACCAGGCTGTGAGGGAGATCAAGGCCCTGCAGGAGATTGAGGACAACCAACATGTGAGTATCAGAGTCCTGGTCTGGGTCTGGTAACCAAAGGGTGACTTACAAACAGGATGTGTAAAAAAGTGAGGGAGGCGAAGGCGACCTGTGTAGAGAGTCATACCAAACTTTGTGGGTGTTGGTTTGACCCTGGTCAGACTAACTTGCCATTCCTTCTTCCTCAACCTCCTCTTCAGGTGGTGAAGCTGAAGGACGTCTTCCCTCATGGTACAGGCTTCGTCCTGGTGTTTGACTTCATGCTCTCCGACCTCTCTGAGGTCATCAGGAACTCTGAGCAACCTCTGACCCCAGCTCAGGTCAAAGGTTACATGTTGATGCTACTGAAGGGCGTCGCCTTCCTGCACCAGAACAACGTCATGCACCGGGTGAGTGTGTTTGAGCTCTCTCCCTCAGCTGCTCCTGCTCTCCTCCCTCAGTAACTGTGGACGTTTACTGACAAACAGTGTGAGTGCACAAAACTGCCTGAAGTGAAGGTGAAGAAGGTCCGAGTTGTCAGTTTACACTCAAACCCTCCCCTGTGGTCACAAGCTTTGGTGTGACTGGTGGCCAAAATGAGATTCCTCAATAGGCTGGCAGGAGGAGGGGTGGGGAGCTCAGACACCCAGAGAGAGCTTGAAGAAGAGCCGGTGCTCCGTCATGTCAGAAGGAGCCAGTTGATCAGGATGCTTGTGTGTGACTCTGTATGGAAGTTTTCTGGACATGTCCCACTGTCAGGACTCACGCTCCCTATGGGGATGACAAGAGGCGGCAGAAGCTGCTGCTTTAGTCCTGGGACTGGCAGGTGAGAGGTGGCGTCTCAGTGAAACACCGTGCTGGAGAGTAACTAAGTACATTCCCTGAAGTACTGTACTTAAGAACAGTCCAAGTACTTCTTCATCACTGGTAAAACTACTCAGTGAAGGTTTAAATAACACATTTGGTTGGAGATTTGGTTTAGGGTCAGATTACAGCCAGTCTGCAGGAAGTGATGGAAAAATGACCGTGTGCATGTGTGTGTGTGTGTGTGTGTGTGTGTGTGTGTAGGACCTGAAGCCAGCGAACCTGCTCATCAGCTCTTCGGGTCATCTTAAGATCGCAGACTTTGGTCTGGCCCGACTGTTCAGCGAGCAGGGAGAGAGACTGTACAGCCACCAGGTGGCCACCAGGTGACGCCACGGGGTTTCAGTGTGTTCACTACAGAGGCAGCAACAAGAGGCAGACACAGAGCAACACTTCCAGCTTTAAACACACACAGGTGTTCATGGCATTAACACGACAACACAAGAATACATCACACTCAGAACAAAACCCAGCCAGACATGACAGGGCATCAGCGTGTGAGGCAGAACAACACCTGGACATGTGGCTCCTTGGTTTAGATAGTTTTACTGGTTTACTCCATGGTTGTGTCCAGTTTCACAACTTTGTTTGCTTACATTTCCTCTCATCATATAGCGTTTTCATAATTTGGTTGCACTGACTTGTGTTCTGTCAGTATAGTATCCTCTGTGGCCCTGTTGTGAAGCTACACAGTGCTGTGTGTGTGTGTTCAGGTGGTACAGAGCTCCTGAGCTGCTGTACGGAGCCAGAAAGTACGACGAGGGTGTCGACTTGTGGTAAGAATACTGCGACTCCTGCTCATCTTACTACTGAAAATACTCACAGTGCCACTAAATATCATTAAAATGTTTGCCAAAATGGGAAAAATATCCAGATATCAGTAACATCTCAGAAAACATTTATATTGATTATTAAAAATGTCTCACATTACCAATATAAAACAATTACTAGTTTCTGAAAAATATTTAAAAATCTGACCAAATTGAAAGAAAACGGAACAAAACCAGAAAACATGCAAGTATAATATTGCAGTAGAAAACAGAGAAATTTGGAACAAACGTGAAGCTATAACCGTGGAGACATCAGCTGGGTGGAGGAGGGGACCTCCATCAGCCCCTGCAGGCAGAGCAGGGCTGCAGGTTGGTTATGTTCACCACCAGTTCAAACAGTAAGCCTATGTCCCCGCCTCAGGCTTGTAGTTTCATTGTCTATTCTTTCTTGTGACTGTGTAACATCTGTCCAGGGATTACAATGACAGATCTTAGTCTTGAGGTCTTAGTGAACTCCAGTGTCGTACAGAAACATTTACTGTTGCTGATAAATCTGTGACTGAGCAATGTGGTGCAGAGCTCAGAGTGGAGCAGCAGGGGGCAGTCTGCAGCCACAGCTGTATTGTCTGTATCTTGCAGGGCGGTGGGCTGTGTTTTTGGGGAGCTGCTGAACTCTTCACCTCTGTTTCCTGGAGAGAACGACATCGAACAGCTGTGCTGTGTCCTCCGAGTGCTGGGAACACCGACGCGGGACAGCTGGCCTGTAAAACACACACACACACACACACACTCATTTTCTACACACGAGGCCTCATACATCTTCACAGGTGTCTGCACTGATGTCTATGCTCAGTGGTCAGTTTATTAGGAACACCTAGCCCAAACTAAGTCAGTCTAATCCAACAGTCCTATGTTTACAGAAGCTTATTGAGGCTGTTTAGGTAAAAAGAATAATGTTTGTGATTTCTAATTTAAAAACAAAGATGGGCTCAGCTTTGTTCTGATTGGCTGCTGATGTCTGATAACAGCTGCTGTCTGATTTAATGATGAGTGGAAACATTCAGTCTGGAGTTTTACTTGCTAATATCAAGCGTAATCCACCAGTGAGACATTTTCTAATACATGTAGGACTTTGACACTGTTTCTGTCTTCGCCTGTCTCTCCAGGAGATAGTGGAGTTACCAGATTACAATAAGATCACCTTTAAGGAGAATCCAGCAATTCCACTGGAGGAGATCGTCCCTGACACGTCCCCTCAGGCCCTTGACCTGCTCTACAAGTTCCTGGTGTATCCATCCAAACAGCGCTGCTCAGCCAGACAGGTAAGACAAAAAGGATTGGACTTCAGGTCTGCGTAATCCACAAGGAGGAGTTCCTCAGGGCCCAATCCGAGGTCCCCTCTTCTTTTCTGTTTCCCTGCTGTAGGAGGGTTGGTGCCCATCACATCTTGCCCAGGGGCACCCATTTGAGAGAGGAGTCGAGGAAGCTATTTTTGTCCCAATTGAGCACCCCTCTCTGAATAGGGGTGGTGGACTAAGACATCTACAACTTTGTGCTGAAACCTCTGCCTAAACATTTTCACACCAGGACAATAGGTGTTGTTCCACATGTGAGGGTTGAAAGACAGGTAACGACGCTCACCGATACCGGACTATAAAGACTTGGTCGTTAGAGGTCAAAGGACTGAAACGCCTCCCAGTGGGGTAAATATCTCCTGCTCACCACCAGGCGGACAGAACTGATGAAGCCTCTGAGAGGTGAAACATCTTCTACCTAAAACCAAGTCCAGATGATTTCTTCTACATTTTTCCAGCTTACTATGACCTGGATGACTGAGAATTTGCATGGACCAGGGACCCATTGTCTGTGGGTGTGGTTTAAACTAATCATGGCCACACAATGTACAGCTGTCATGTCACAGCGTCGCTGTTTAAGTATTTAACCCAGATTCTGGTTTCACTGTGACGCAGTTGCAGAGTTGAGCTTAAACTGTACGCAGCCTGAGCTAAGGTGAATCCGTCACTTAAACCCGACATCTGGGTTTTTTATTGATTGATGTACTGATAACGTCTGCCTGTCCTCTTGTCCTCTCTGCAGGCCCTCCTCCATCCATACTTCTTCTCTTCTCCGCTTCCCGCTCATCACTCCGAGCTGCCCATCCCTCAGAGGAGGGGCCGACCCCCCCGCCAGCGCCTGCAGGCTCCGCCCACTGATTTCTCTGTGGATCTGCCCCTGCAGAAAAGTGTGGTAGACCCCGTGCAGCTGCAGGGACATGCCTCCTGCCTCTGAACAAACTAAATGAACTGATAAATCATCACTGCTGATGTTCATTATACATATTGATCAGCAATTTATTTCCTGTTTCGTTGACATGTTTTCATTACTCTAACCTGCTGAAGCACTGTTAGTGGGAGTTTTAATAAAATTAACTGCAGCTCTCTGAGGTGTGGTTTCATGTCTTTGCTCTGTCCTCACATTCTTTAGCAGTGAAATGAAATTAGATAAAGACAATAACTAGAGGACAACCCAACAAGTGCACCCAAACCAGTAATTCATACAGGTGTTTCCTGTGTATCACCTGTCTGTACATAGCTTCGCAGTATGTCAGATAATCATAATGGCTTCTCAATAAGCTACATGTTCTCATCTGAAATCACCAACATATATTTATTTCTTTCAGCATACATGTTCAGGTTTGTGAAACCAGTTTGTGATTGTTACTGGGATACAACAAAACCCAGATCATGAGTGGGACATACAGGTCTGTCTAAACACACTCCTTAGCCATGGTGACCTTTGTCTTTTAGTCAAATAACCAAAAGAATTTAAAAGCAAATCTATAGTTTCTGAAGCTGAAAAAGTCCAACCCAAAGTCTTTCACCTCCCACACTTCGTCCTGCCCCTCCTCCTCCGTCACATCAGACTCTGTTCTTCATTCGGCACGAGACCAGAGACTTGGAGCTGCTCTTCAGCCTCTGTGGGTATCGTTATCAGTTCACCATTATCCGTTTAACCTCAGTGTTTATTATTCTGCCAGTTTTTTCTGCAGAAGCAGCAGCCTCAGAACAAGTAGCTGAGTTTGGTTTGGAAAATATTTTTCTGAGCTTACTTCATGTTAGAAAAATTGGGAGGGGGTTAAATCTGTCTTTAAATTGTCTTTTTTAACTAATTTCTTAATTGTGTCTTAGATACTAACAGAGTAGAGATCCTATGTGATGAGAGCTCTCACTCTGTCTCATTTTTACTCCGTCTCTCAGACACAGTGATGACGTTTGCAGCCATCTGATTGGTCATCTGCTGATATGACAGCTCAGTCTGAAGCTTCCAGGATCAACATAAAGGTCAGAGTCATGATATACTGTACGTTCATGCAGCCGCACTAGCTGACTGGTTTCTTCTTCAGGAAGTGTGAGGCCGCCTGTTTTCAACAAACACACACTCCACAGCCTGAGGGGCGGCCGTCACTTTGTACAGAGTCACTGGTCTCTGCTCTGGTCACGCTGTTCCAGCAGCTTCACTGCACAGGACATCATGTTGGGCTGCTTGTGACTTCCACACAGACCAGGAACAGGAGAGAAAGCATTGTACAACTGTTTTAAATTCCTAGTTTTAAAACCTTGCACTTTACCTGACAGGCATATGAACCAGTGAACCTTCTCTCTGGTTCCTTATGCAAAAAAATGTTCCATAATCTGTGCAGGTTGGCTCCGCCCCCTCACAAACTCTTTTCCAGTCTCCAAACCCAGCCCATGATGCCTGTCACCGGGTCACAAGTCCCTGTCTCTGGTTGGACGACTCAGGCCATCAGTCGCTGAGCTCAGATTCTATCCCACCTCCTCCTTCCCCATCCTTATATGGTAATCCTGCTCTGACCCCACCCTGCTCCTGCATCCTCTCTTCAACAGCTGGATGGGACAGTTACTATGGCAATGCTTACCCCTCCTGGGTACCTGGCAAACCGGTTCCAGGTGAGATATCTTGCTGTCTGTCTGAGCTGCATCTGTCTACTATGTGTTGCACAATGTTTCGTGTGTGTGTTTGCTTCTGTCTGTTCAGAACAGCGCGAGTGTGTTTGCTGCGGGACGAGCAGCGCCTCCCTGTGGAGAAGAGACGCCACTGGTCGTTACCTGTGCCACACCTGTAGCCTTCAACATAAACCCAACAACAGACCAGTGCTGAGGCCAAAGAGGAGAGCGGTGAGATATTAACACAGACCTGTATGCTGTTAGTACAGTAGCAGTCTGTGGTGGAGCCGTTTGTTCGCCAACAACCGCATGAAACAGTCAACTCACAAAAAAAGTTACAGAAAACAGTAGAGAGGTTTGGTCAGTACAGGAAATGTGATGTTAACGTCAAGGTGTGTTGAATTGTGGGTAAATGCGCCGTATATAGAGCATCACGCTCACTGTCCATCGTAGACATATACACTACATACATCTATAAGCCACTTTAAAACCAATAAACACCATCCCATACGGCTACATACAGTAGACAGACAGGACGGAAACGGATTCACCTGCAGCGTCTGTCATCTACCGACAGCTGCTAGCTAGTTAGTGATGCTAGCTAGTGAACAACACATCACTAGCTAGCATTAGCTCCCAAACCGAGAGCTGAGATCAGGGTGCAGTCAGTGGGATCTCTAGGTCTGCTACGAGTAGGCTACAGTCAGCTAAAGTTATCCATTCTGAAATTCCACAGTCAGTGAAATGAGATCTAAACGATTTAAGCAACTTTTTAGCCAAACAAAACAAGAATGAATGCAGGTAAATACAGCGTGTCTCCCAAAATGGTTACCCGACCCAACATTCAACACGGCGTGACGTTCCTTCACATTCTCTAGCAAGTCAGTACTTGGTGATTAACAATAATGAGATAAAATTGTGTATACTGTAATAATTTAACTGTTTCAAAGGACATTGTTTTGCACTGAGTACTTTAAAAACTTTGTCCATTTTCCTGATTACACATTTACCTAAGTAACATTGTCAGTGCAGCACTTTTACTTGTAGCTAGTGGAATAGCTCTAAAGTTAGCCCACAGCTAAGCTAACCCAGTCCAGAACCGGCCCTGGACACACTGACATGAGACTGAAGACTGAGAGCAGGAGGCTTTAATGCTGAATGAATGTTTCCAGACTGTGACTCGGAGAGCAGGGACTCAGTGTGTGAACTGTGAGACAGTAACCACCACCCTGTGGAGGAGAAACGCTGCAGGTCAACCCGTCTGCAACGCCTGCGGACTCTACTACAAACTGCACCGGGTACTACACTTCTGTCCACATACTGCTGTTGGTCTGTAGGTACTGCAGTAGGTACTACTACTGTACTGCACAGCACTCTGTTCCTCCCTACTAAAACAATCTCCGGCTGTGTTTCAGGTCAACCGGCCATTAACGATGAAGAGAGAAGAAATCCAAACCAGAAATCGCAAAGTGACCAATAAGAACAAGAAGCGCATAAGCGGTGCCAAATCAGAGACGGAGTGGTGTTGGCTGGCCTCTCCCACCGACGAGGCCATCCTTCATTCCTTCACACACCTGCCTCCTACTCCTCTTTGCAGCTGGCCTCGCTCTGCTGGACATGACCAGTCTCACTGGGAGTCGCCTGCTGGAACCATTTCTTGTCCGCGCGCAGAATCACGCGCCACACTGCGACCGGAGCGCAGCGCAGAAGTGCGGGGCGGAGGAATACACGGTTGTTGATCAGGAGCCAGTTACAGTGTATTAATGGCATGTGTCTAGAAACGTCACTGCTGCTGAAAACTGTTTTCGTCCTGTGTGTGAATGTCTTGGACCTTTTATTTCTGCAGACTCTGGTTCAGAACTATTACACCTTAACCTTTCGTGAACCGCCAGGCTGTAACTGTCCCTGACACTACTTCAGCAGTCAGCTGTTCTCATGTGCAGTCCCTGTGTAAAGATGCTTGGTCATGATTTTTTCAAATTTGTTTTTTCTGCAGTTTTTCCTTTTTTTAAATGCTTAATGCTTTTGGGAGTGAACTCACTGTTTTACACTTCTTTATTGTTCCCTCTCTCCTTCCTTCACTTAGAGGATTTAGACCTGTTTGTTTATATTTGTTATGGAGGAATTAATATCTCATTGGATTTTTTATAAAATTATTTCTCTGCATAATTTGTGTTGATTTGTCTCTACACAGATCTACAATTTAATAAAAAGTTGTTTACCAGAAGTTAAAATGTGTGTTTGCAGCTTCTTTAGCACTAAACACAACTAGCATATGACTGACTGACTGTTAGGTATCACAGATTTGACACCTTTAATGTCAGAATTTCACTTGATTTAGTCACTGGTTATTATACCTGTAAGCTATAATAATATGTATAATCCATTTCATGTATAATAAGAAATCTCCTGATAAACTTGTCCTGTGCACAGGTGCTGCACACACACAAATAACACAACAGAAGTACAACATTTCCATAAGTACCTGGCACAGAATTCTCCAAAAAATAAAAGTCAACCAGTAGAAGATAAAAGCCATATGTGCAAACGCAGCAGTGTCCATAAATCAAATACTAGCTAAAGCACCGATCTCTCTGTCAGTCACCCCTGCACATTAACTGAAAATAAATAGGTGAGCACCAGGTGTGTGGGCAATGTCAAAGGTAGGTGTGCAAATGAAATAAGAAAGGTTACTGCACTCACTGTCAGTCAACATTTCACATCAAACAATGTCAGGGACAGAGCAGAGCTGGAGGCACACATTTTAACTTCAAAACTACAAAATAAGCTCATCCCAGCTTTTTATGACATGGTTTAAATGATGCAGCCTGTGACTGTGTATGTCTGTGTGATTCCCCCCCAACCCCGTCCAGAGACCAGCAGCACCAGTGAACATGGTGTCCTCACTGTGATGTGTGTGAGTCCAAACCCTGGTCCTGCTCTGTGCCATAGACCTCCACCATTGTCCACAAGCTAATAGCCAGAGACTGACAGCGCAGCCGTAAGAGAGGCCTCAGCCTGTGAAAGAACATCATGTATTGAACGCAGACAGTGGAGACAGCATACCAGGACCACTGGTCTGAGTCTAGCCCGCCCTCACCCAGAGCCCCCTCAGGCTGCCTGCTGGAGGCCGATGTTGTGCAACGCAGGAGGCTTCTGGTTTTCCGGACCCAGAAAAAAAAGGCCAAGAGAGGAAAGGGGAGATGAACAAAGAGTGGTTAGTGGTCAGAGGTGGCCAGAGACTCTCTGCCTCTCTCTACCACTCTCTCTATCTCTCTGAGGCATCCGGGTGTTGATGGTGCTGAGCTGCTGATGGATGATTAGCAACCACAGCAGGTGCACGCACACACACACACACACACACACACACACACACACACGGCTATATATACACACAGGCAGTTTGTTTAGACGTTAGGGCTGTAACACAGTGAACAGTTGGTGATGTACAGTCGGACATGTCGACATCTTGTTCTCTCCTCTGAAGAGGCTTTAAATATACCACAACGCAGTCGGTCACACTATCCCTACATTCACATCTCAGGCCTTAACGCTTAGCTCTGATGTTTCAGTCAGATCTGACCTTGTTGTGTCGCTGCTTCCCGTCCTTGTGTGTCAGGGCCATGTACCTGGCTCCAGTGTGAACACTGCTCAGCTCCTAAACTGCCACACATGCACAGATGCAACTGAAATGTGAGCCACATGCACACAAGAATAACCACGAGGTCATGTGTGTGATGGTCAAATGGCCCAGTTTCCTCCCAAACTGCTCATTTGTAGGCCAGGTTACCAAAAGAACCAACTGGGCCCAGAGTACCAGCTGGGTTCAAGAAGCCCGGAGAATAAAGATATATGATATAATAAGTACAGTGGGGGTCAACAGGGGCCCAGCACAAATGTTCTGCCCCAGGTTGTCTAGGAAACTAACCCGGCCATGCTTTATCATTGTTGTGAGTGATCTTTTCTGACAGACTGACCAGTGCAGACAATGTAAAGTTTGTCCTGAGTGTGGCACCCCAGGAAAAGTCATGCACTCAGACACAGGGATGTTTAGGCTTGAATATGCACAGGAGCTTTCATGTGGCAGGCAGGGATGAACCCTGTGCTGCAGAGAGAAGCAGCTGTGACTGTTTTCAAACAAAGTGAACAAAACTCAACATCTGTACAGCACCGTAGGTGCCACTGTCTGTGGTTCTGCTGTGTCCTCGACCATCCTGGAACTAAACGTGGTCTCTGATACACATCCAAATTCAGGTATATAATGAGGTGCTGACTACAACAAACGCAACAACAGGAAGCACCGATTCACTGCTGCACCCATGTGGAGCAGAAGCAGAGCAACGTGCCAGTGTCATTTGATGTGAAATTACTCTGTAGATTATATGAATCATTATTCTGATGTGTACTCTGTGTCAGTACTGTGTTACACTGTTTTATAGTCATTCTGCCTTTCTTTCTCTCTGTGTTCCTTAATTTCATTTACAAGTTCACCTCTATCGTTCACACAGTGAGCTATATGTTTGTACTGTAAACACGTGTACCATGTAGTATTATTGAAGTATTGTAGGAGTTTCACATTAAGACAGGAAAACAAACAGTTTTTTTGGTAACTTTCTAACTCTGACTGGTCTGTTTGATGAATTTGAGGTTCATGCAGCCTCACAGCGGGTTGCCTTTTGCGCATGCTCAGTGGCTATGACGAGCCCGTAATGATGCTGCCTTCAGAGCCTCCTCGGAAATGTCCAACGTGTGAGATTACAAGTCTCAGTGGTGCTAGAAGTACTCAGACACTTTAAAAATTAAAATAAAATTAAATGAAAATGAATTATTATTAATTAAAATACATTATTATTATTCCAGAACTAACAATTTTATGTGTTAAGATTCACCTTTTGACGTGTAAACAAAATTTAACTAAACAAAACTAAAAACATTCAGTATTTATTTTTCTATGTAGTTGCTGTGCTGAAAAAACTTAGAAGAAAGCACATGTGGATGTAATTTTAGGTAGAAAGAATTTCACATCCCATCCAAGAGGCTTCATCGGTTCTGTCTGCTTGTAAGTCACAGAGTTGATGCTGCTGACAGTGGGTCTGAGTGGGGCTCCTTCCTTATGTATTTGGGTAGGCCATAAATTCAAGGGATGGTTTCCCCAGGGTATAGTCTGTGGCATAGTCGCCGGTCAATAGGCCAGAGAACGCCCTGTGGCAGACTCTGGTCCATCCGACGGGACAAAACACCCAGACATAAACAGAGTGATGTGGTGGAGTGTAATGACCTGGACATTGGTGAAACTAAGCAGCTGCTTCACAAACACATGGCCCAACACAGGAGGGCCAACTCCAGTGGACCAGAGTCAGCAGTCCGCCTCCACCTGAAGGACAAAGGACATTCTTTTGAGGACAGTGAAGTCCAGATCCTCTCCAGAGAACATCACTGGTTTAAGAGAGGAGTTAAGGAAGCTATTTTTGTAAAAATAAAACACCCCTCACTAAATAGGGGTGGTGGACTAAGACACAACTTGTCTTCCATCTACAACTCTGTGCTGAAACCTCTGTCTAAACATTTCCACCCCAATTCACACCAAGACAATAGGCATCGGTCCACATGTGAGGGTTCAAAGACAGGTAACAACGCTCACCAATACCAGACCCTAACAGTCATTAGGTGACATTGTTGGTCATGGAAGGACTGAAACACCCCCGGGAGATAAATACCTCCTGCTCACCACCAGTCAGACAGAATTGATGGAGCCGTTTTCTATCTAAAACTATGTCCTGTACCCTGGATGACTGAGAATTTGCACGGACGTGTAGTTGCTGTGTTCTCCGACGCTCGACACGGTCGGTGAAGGCGGCAGCACGGAGCAGAGGCGGAGCACCGGAGGAGCTCGCGCTGCGGCCACGCCGAAAATAAGAGCTGCATTAATTTATAATAACGGTTAAATGAGACGTAAGCGGAGCGGCGGGAAAACAGCGAAGGGGCACACAGGTGAGGCCGGACGGACACCGCGCCAGGAGCACCGGAGGAGGACTCCTGGTTTAGCGCTGAGCGCTCCAGAGAGGAGGCAAACATGTCCGCCCACTGCGTGTGTGTTGTGATGGGATCCGAGTTAAAGGGGCATTCGGCATTTTAGTGTAGTCCGGTTCAGTCCGTCCCGCTGGTCTCTGTAGTCCATTAAACCGTGAAATCACCGCTCTACTATTCATACCAACACGCAGACCCCGCTGTCACAATCCGACTACATATCCCAGCATGCTTTGTGCTGCCAGGGTCTCTCGGGGACGTAGTTGGCTTCGGTTTTTGCCGAGTTCAACTCATAACATTTAAACTGTAATTACAAGCAGCAGAGTGGGAAAACCATTCACAGCAGCTTCTGACCTGTAATAGTAAGTCAGAGATTTGGGGAGTTTTGGGGAGAACCTGTGCTGCAGTCTTGACAGGAAGTGCTTAGTATTACCTGGAAGTCGTTAACCTTGGCATGGGCGGGGTTAGGGGTTTGGGCTAATCCAGTTTGTAGCCGAGGTTGACAATCCTCTGTCAGATATCTGACAGTGATGATATCTCAGAGGGACATTCACAGCCGGAAGCTACACCCAAATGAAAGCCACTTTAGGATGTTTGGATCTGGTTTCACTCAGCAACAAACTGCTACAAACACATTTATTCTGTTTACCTGCTGTGACTACGGCTTAGCATCAAAACAAACACCTTGGCTGAAAAGTTGCTTAAATCGTTTAGATGTCATTTCACTGACTGCGGTAATTCAGTATTGATAACCTTAGCTGACTGTAGCTAACTCGTAGCAGACCTAGAGCCACTGACGAGGAGCTAATGCTAGCTAGCAGCCCTCGGCAGATGACACAAACACTGTAGATGAATCAGTTTCTTCATATTATAAAGAATCTTGTCCTGTTCTTCCTGTTTTGCCTACATTTAGCCCCAGATGTATCAATGTAAATTCAGGTCAGCATCAGTTTCTCTAAGGTAGACTTGCTGTATTTCAGACATGAAGGTGTTCTGGACTCTTGACCTTTTTGTTTAACTTTTTAAAACTAAATGCTTCTAGATCATGAACCACATACCGTATATATGTGTCATCACTGTTCTCTCCATTTCTCTTCTGAACAGCCAACAGGCATCTATTTCATTGGACAGAAGCGAGTTTTCACTGTTCACCCGCGGCCACATGAACAGGGTGGGTGGGTAAGAGTCTGTGACATGAGAGTTCAGGGTGAGGAAGAGCACATGTGGGCTAAATACCATTCATCATGATCTACCTCAGTTATAAAGTTAGCAAGCGTATCTGTACTTGGTCAACCATCGCAAATGACCACAGCCACATCACCACACTGAGGCAGAACTGACATTTCACCTCTGTCCTGCGCCACAGATCAGCAAATGAATAATCAGTTGTTACACTTTAAACCATATTCAATTAGATTTAATGGAAAATATGAAATTTAACCTGCATGTGTCCACATTATGGTGAGCGCTCACGGTGGTTTGACACCTTGCCTCTGTAGTTTTCTAAAATGATTTCTCTCAAATTTTTGGTCAGATTGATTTTGGCTCATCAGACACTCCTCCAGCAGTGTTCGAAATACAGAGTCTCTGTTAAAACATCATTAATCAGTGACATTTGAAAAAAAACAGAAGGCCTTTTGGTTGGTTTTCCTGTTTTTTTTTAGGACATTTTAGGATCCAGACATTCCTCAAACCAACTAGATACATATTCAGTCCACTGGCTGATACAAAGATGAACGTATTTCCTGAACAAAGATGGTGGCCCACCAACTGCTTGGATAGAAAACTTGTGAAAGTTTTTTAAAAAGATCAGTTTTTTCCAGATGGCTCAAAGAATCTTGTTGAAATATAAAGATAGCTTCAGAAGAACAGGAAGTGGTTTTAAAAGACCTGGGTTTTTCAAACGCCACTGGCTAATTATCTGTTAGAGAAACTGATGTTTCCTCTGTAACTTGAATTCTTGACAGTATTAATTATGGTTAATTACACAAGTTTAAGGGAAGCTTGAGCTTGCATGCTTAGACTAAAGGAGTGTATGCTCAACAGCTCAAAATGTGCATAAACTCACAAAAATAGGCAACCAAAATGTTTTCAAAAACAGGAGCACTAATGACAAGTATAAGGGTTTAATTAAGAGTCTAGTCAAACTGCCGGTGCTGCTACATGTGGAAACAGCTTTAGAGGCCAAACGTTTGAGCCATTCTCTAATTTTCTTTGGTATGAAACTTTCTGTTTCCAGGCTCAGCTCATTAGCAAGCAGCTTCGTTAACCTCAGACAAGTTAACGAACTCTATTCGAGCTGAATATTAACATGGACTCAGAGGCCACGCTCACACATTGCAGGACTCGTCGTCATTGGCTGTTGTAGCAGAGAGGCTGACCTAAACCTGAGATGGGCGAGGTGCACTTGGATGAGCTGGATCTAGGGGCGGGGTTTGAGTTGGAAGGTAAGATGGCGGGATGAGGAGAGGAGGTGCAGTCGAATTCAGAAACAGTTCAACTTCAGACTAAAGTAAAATAAAATGAAACTCAGGAGGGTGGTTCAACGGTTAACTGCCCTGTATGGGATCCCACACTGAAAGACACACAATGACCCAGTGTCTGTAGTGGGTCTGCGTCTCTTTGTAGTAGTTGTTTTTGTTAGACATCTGACCTGGGATCTGTTTGTACAGCAGAGAAACAAGGATGTCCTGAGGTGGAGGAAAAGGAGCTCCGTACATATTGTAAGCCACAGAGAACTCCAACCAAGGGGGACATTAGCATCACTGGAGCAGTTACCATGGAAACCAGGGGGTTGGAGGAGGAAAAACTGCCAAAGAAGATGGAAGAGGAGGAGGTGCAGAGATGGAGGGAGCTGTTCCCTGAAATAAAGAAATGCATGATTGTGGTGGTTCGTCACAAATTCGACAAACTCAATGTGCTGAAGCAGAAACAAGAGGAGGAGGAGGTGAGGTCACATGACCCAGAGCCAGTCTCTGACTGGATGGAGCCGTTGGAACCAGGCGATGACAGCAGCAGCTGTGGCAGATTGAAGAGATTTGTGAAAAAGGTGGAGGTCAAAGTTAAGGCAAATCACGTCCCTGTTAACAGGCCCAGGAGACCCTGTGGCCGGCACAGAGGGTCTGCTGTGCTGAAGCTGAGACAGAGCTGTGATGTCATCAGCGTAAACCCCACCCACCGTCAGCGGCACCTCCACAAGCGCACTAAGGAAAACAACAACATAATCGATCCATCAGAGACTGACCACAACTATAGCCTCAACAACAAATTGCCAGACAGTCCGGAGGGCGGCAGCCAATCACAGGGTGCCAGGTAAGAGGGGGAGGAGCCAGGTAAGAGGGCTGCAAAGAGTTTAATTTAAAAAATATATTTATTAGTTTTCTTATCAGATATTTAAGTGTTTTAATAATGATCTTTTATAGACGAGCTGTCATGACATTTTAGTAAATATATAAATTAATTAATGAAATGTTTAACCAGTATAACCAGTAGAACTTTATTACATTACCATCTTTTCACACACTATTACAACTTTATTCTAAAACGTCTGAGTCTGGTCTCAGTCCTGCTTGTTTACTCAGTCTGATGTGAGACTCTTCTTCTCTTGTTTCTGCTGCAGTCTGTCTTCCTGTGGACACGAAGCTGGAGACTCCAGCAGCTGCTCGACAGGCCCTGCTGTCTGTCCTCCTCCTCTCTGTGCTAATAACACTGTTTTTCTTGCAGAGAAGAAGAATCCTCCTCCTATAGTGTTTAAAAAGGTAAGACTCGCCTGCCTGTTCACTCCATGTTCACTGTTTCCACTGGCGGAGTAGTAATACTGTACGGTACATACTGTATGCCTTCAGTCACACGTTCTAGGGCAGGATACAGTTGTTCAGCCTTATTTTGTCCTTTCCATCAACAGGTAAAAATATTGACAGTGTTTCCATCTGAGGAATGTGGGTGCTGTTCATAAAGTGGGGGTGTTTAAAAAAATCAAACAGGAAGTGTGTGTGACCACATTAACAACATAAAGCACAGTATTTTAATAGTATTACTAAACTAAATGAAGTAACACTGGCTATCTCTGCCCACCTGATCTCAGCACTGTTGCATGCTGGCTCTCTGCAGGTCGGGGGGGATCAGTGGGTGCTGAGGAGGTCAGAGGTCAAAAAACAAGAAGAGGAGGGGGACAAAAAGGTGAGAACAGACACTTCAGTGACTGAGCTAACATGATTAAATCCTGCAGAGTTTAACCAGTCGTATGTGCTCTGCTCTGCCATGTGACCTGCTGCGGGCCTGTGACTGGTCCACCAGATGAAGACAAAGAATGAAAACCTGCCACCACACATGCAGGCACTATGTCCAGTGAGTGTGTCTCTCTCTCTCTCACACACACACACACACACCAACCAGCAGTGAGCCCTGACCTCTTTGTGTCTGTGCAGCAGAGGAAGCGTCGGACAGCCTGTAGGCAGTGCGAAGCCTGTCTCAGGGAGGACTGTGGGAAGTGTACTTTCTGCCGGGATAAAAAGAAGTTTGGTGGTCCAGAGAGGATGAAGCAAAAGTGTCGCTTAAGAACGTGTCTGGTTATGGTGAGTCTGTTGGTCCTGTGGACAGGTGTGGACAAGTGCGTCTTGTATCCGAAAAACACAACACAGCATGCACACATCTCCTAACACCACATCTGCTGCTCCACATCGGTCCAGCTGCGGGTGCTGGTTGAAGGTATAACAGAAGCTCCACTGATGGTTTTATCACTTCATGTGAAGAGTCTATTCTCCTTCATGGAACTGAGAAGAATGATCTGACTCTGACAAGATAAATATTAAATAGCTTTTTTATTCAAACACTTTAGAAACCGATTCTGTCCTTTAAAATCAAACAGAAACCATCTAAATAAAATCAGGGTCTACATGTTTGTGAATTTAATGTCATAATTGTAATTTTCCCCTAAGCTCCTGAATGTGCATTTTGTTATACCTGATGACAAATCCAGTGTCAAACCGGTCCCCTGAGCTCCATTGCACTATCACACTGTTAAATTCACAGAAATATAAATAGATGGTGCCACTGCTTAAATACACAAGCTGGGGACTGATCACCCACAGCTGGGTCATCCAGGTGAGGGTGTCTGATGTTTCGAGACGTCCAGTGACCCCGGGATACATCACTGATGATGTGTCTGAGTGCATTGTAAGGTGTATTTTGATAAATCACATCATCTGATAAAGCCTGTGACAGTTAGGTGAGATGCAAGTGGAACCAGGCCAGGTAGTATCCTACAGTGCCCGGAATCTTTGTGAACCTGAAACTCCAGCCCCAAGCAGGTCGTCTGAGGTCACCCTGAGGAAAAAGCTCATCTCGCTGCACGGGGCAGAGAGCCATAGATGCCCTCTTAGAATTTTTGGAAAATGTGCTGCTTCTAAAGTAGACCCTTTCAACTCCTCCAGGCAGCTGCTGGGTCAGAGAAGCAGTGGCATATTGTCATGCCCCATAGAGCAAGTCAACCAGCATCTCCACAATATGCTTTCAGACATTGAGAGAGAAGTTGGTTTGGGGGACTGAAAACCCCTGGATGAAGTTTGATTGTGATGAGCCCAGCTTCAGAGAAGTTCAAGAGATCATCAAAGCATCAAGAACCAGCTCAGCATCAGGGCCTGCTGGAGTACCCTACAAAGTCTGTAAAGGATGTCCCATCCTCCTGCAATGCCAACTGATCTTGAGAATAATACAGTATTGTTCAAAATAATAGCAGTACAATGTGACTAACCAGAATAATCCAGGTTTTTAGTATATTTTTTTATTGCTACATGGCAAACAAGTTACCAGTAGGTGCAGTAGATTCTCAGAAAGCAAACAAGACCCAGCATTCATGATATGCACGCTCTTAAGGCTGTGCAATTGGGCAATTAGTTGAAAGGGGTGTGTTCAAAAAAATAGCAGTGTTAATGGACAGCACCTAAGTTAAATATATGAGTGTCACAGCAAAGGGTCTGAATACTTATGACCATGTGATATTTCAGTTTTTCTTTTTTTAATAAATCTGCAAAAATATCAATAATTCTGTGTTTTTCTGTCAATATGGGGTGCTGTGTGTACATTAATGAGGAAAAAAATGAACTTAAATGATTTTAGCATATGGCTGCAATATAACAAAGAGCGAAAAATTTAAGGGGGTCTGAATACTTTCCGTACCCACTGTATATCTCCAAAAATTTTGAACTGTTGCTTTAGAATCGCTACTTTGATCTGATTATCACCTCTCCCGCATGGTGGTGTGTGCCTCAGAACGTTATATAGAGACAGTGATGCCATCAGATACTAGCAAGATTATGGACCCGTCATTAAGTAAAATAGTTTATTTGTTCATTCTTTATATTCTTATTAACCTGCTATCCCTTTATATCCCAACTCTTGTCACCCATCATCCACCATTTCCTGTCTCATCCATTGCCTCCAGTTCCACCCGTAGCCCTAGTGAGGGGAAGCCAACCTTTCACAGGAGAAGGTATTAATAAATCACATTAATTAGATCATGTGTTTTTAAGATTGGCTTGTTGCTATTGTGACATGCATAACAAAATTTAAGTGGGTGTAGCCATTTTATGTGTGCTTGCTGAACTACTGCTGCATTGTGCTCCACCCCTGCAGGCTACTGTTGCTATCTTTTCATTTGTCAGAATGTCCAAGAAATACTGTGGCAAATAGATGGTTGAGACACATTGGTTTTTTGTATTGAACTTATAACAAGCAGCCGTGTAGACACACAGAAAGAGGGGAGTTTAGTTCTTCCGGCTCAGAGGACTGGATTGGCCAGATTTTGAGAACTTTTTTGTTTGTTTTGTTTTGTTTTTTGTGTAGTAAGTTCCTGTAGGGAATATTTCAAAGCCGTTCCTGTAAAGATATCCGAGGAGTTTTGAATTTAGTCCCAGAGCAGACAGTGTGCCACAGCAGTAAAAGCAGTATTGAGGCTGTTCTGGTGTTAGGCACAATTGTTCTTGATGTAGGAAGAATGGCTCTGTTGAGTGAAAAACTGCACTTTGACTTAGACAAAGTAGAAAGGATGGTGGAAGCAGTAATGAAGAAGGAGTTTGCATCATTCATGATTCACTGATCTTGATTGTAGAGAGGAGAGATGTTTCAGTTCTTTAGACTGATCCAGTTCCTCACCCTGGATCAGAGAGCAGGAGCTTCAAGTTACAATACATTGCTTGTTCCACTCTACTCTGTGCCAGTGGATTCTATTAGGTATGGAAGTGATTGCTTAAATATTTTCACCTGACTCTTCTGTAATATTTTGATGTCAAGCTGACATATACATAACTGACATTATACATAAATTCTTAGTACTGGTAATTCTTGACAGCTTTACAGCTAATGTGAGACAGTTAGTGGATTTCTAAGGCTGGTACATTGTTTATCAGGGAGGTAAAAAAAAAACAGTTTAAACAATTTATCAGTTTCAGTTTGATATAATTATTTTTTTTATTTTTAGTCATTAAATTTGGTTAAGGAAGAATTTAGATCAAGATACACTATGTTCTGAGCAGGCATTTAACAGCACCTGCTCTTGTAAACAGACTAAATGACCTAAAGCAGTGGTCCCCAACCCCCGGGCCGCGGACCGGTACCGGTCCGTGGATCAATTGGTACCGGGCCGCACAAGAAATCATTAATTATTTCCGTTTTATTTATTATCTGAGTCTGAACGATCTTTTATTTTGAAAAATGACCGCATTCTCTCGGTTACATCTCGCTCACTTGAGCTCCAAAACTGGCTTACTTGTGGACATATTCAGCCTGCTTAATGAACTCAATCTGTCACTTCAGGGGAAAATGACAACTGTCTTCAAGTTGGCAGATAAAGTAGTTGCATTTAAAGCCAAACTGGATTTGTGGGGACGGCGCGTCAACGGAGGCATTTTGGACATGTTTCAAACATTAGCGGGGATTTTGGGTGAGACTGAGCCTGAGCCTTCATTCTCCCAGCTGGTGCACGATCACCTGTCTTTGCTTTTAAAAGAGTTCGAGCGCTACTTCCCAACCACAAAGGACCCACGAACTGCCAAGGAATGGATCCGCAACCCATTTGTCAACAAACCAGGTGAATCCAGCATGTCTGTGCAAGAAGAAGATCAACTGCTGGAGATCGCAAATGACGGCGGCTTTAAAAGTATGTTCGAGACAACAACTCTGTCGGTGTTCTGGATTAAAGTCATGGAATACCCTGAGATCGCAAACCACAGCACTGAAACGAGTGCTGGGGCTCAGGGCTCCCATTGATTTAGCGTTATGGGGAGTTAAAAATTTCAATACAGTGGATTCACGTTTATTATTATATTAACAATATAAACAATCTACGTCATGCACCCAAGAGAGTTTCTGCATTGCTGTATTACAGAGAGTCCAGTGACCCTAAAATGTCTGGTGCAGGGATTGGGGTGAAGGCTGGGAAGAAGTGGAGTGTGAGGGTGGCTGTGGAGACACAAGGAGCTAGTGGGCAATGTGGCATCAGGAAGGCCAAGGGTTGGAAAGTTGCCCTGCAAGTCAGCTGAAGTGTCTAGGAGACAAAGGAAGGTGCTGGTTGATCCAGCAGGAAGTGAGAGCATCTGTGGAGGAACAGCATGCTACCACAGCTGGGAATGCATCAGCAAGGTGCTTGGATATAGTGTGACTAGGTACTGGACTGGAAGATACCTTGGTTGAATTTGTGGAGCACTGTAGCCCCCTGCATCAAGATCTTTGTGAAGTCTGTATATGATGTGCTCCTGACTCCATCAAACCTTTTCTGCTGGGGTTTGGTAGAGGCTTCTTACAGCCCCCTGTGTCTCTGGGTGAGTTCAGTTGAGCATATCCTCTGTTGCTCCCCAAAAGCCTTGAGAGAAGGACGCTATTGTTGGTGACATGACGTGGTGCTACAGTTACTAGCTGAAAGGATTGGCTCAGCCATTGTCCAATACAAACTGTTTAAACCAGTGCAGAAGGGAATCCATGTTATGAAGGCTGGTGAGAAGCCCAAGATGCACCAGAGGTGCTTCTGGCAACAGCTAAAGACTGCAGCTGATGGCTGACCTGTTTAAGCATCTCTAGTTCCCTGAGTCCATTATGAAGACCACTCTGAGACCTGAAATCATCCTCTTCCTGTCAGAAACATCAAGGCAGGTGGTTTTGATGGAGCTTACCGTCCCATGGAAAGACAGAATAGAGGAAGCCACAGAAAGAAAGCACACCAGGTACGCTGACCTGGTTGAGGATTGCCGCAGGCAGGGGTGGAGGATGTGGTGCCTGCCTACAGAAGTGGGCTGCAGAGGATTTGCTGGCCAACTGGGATGGGGTCTCAGGCTGGCTCTGCCTGAGGAATACCGAGCTGTGCATGAATGTTACTCAGACACAGGCTGGGGAATGATCATCCCCAGCTGGGTCACCTGGGCTAGGGTGTCTGATGTTTGGAAACCTGAAACACCCGATGACCCCAGGATACTGTACATCACTGATGATGTGTCTGAGCACATTGTAAGGTATGTTTGGATAAATAAAACAGAATAGAGCAGAACAGGGTAAAGAAAAGTAGAACGGAATAGAAAAACTGTAGACAAGTGACATAGAACCTGACTGTTTATCCAGGGCTTCTGGTTGGGGAACCTCTTGACTTGTATGGTGGGCACAATGTTGTCGATGCAGGTACTAATGTATCCAGTCACATACTCAGCATAATCCTGTACATTGACAGAAAAGTCCTCTGAGGTGGCTGCAGCTTTAAACACATCCCAGTCTGTCACCCAGACATTGTGCCCACCATACAAGTCAGGAGGTTCCCCAACCAGAAGCCCTGGATAAACAGTCAGGTATGCCACATGCTGCGTGCTCGCTA